AATCTGAAAACTTAGCTATCAGTGATGGTATTAAAGATAATGAGTTAGTCATGCAATATATTATAATTTTTCTAATAGTTTCAGATCCCTATTTAAGGCATGCTTATAAGAATTTTAGGGATCATATAGGTACATGGAACTTATTATGTGACTATATTGTACGTACATTTATGTTGTCACTTCTATCAAATTTGGATAATTTTTCCTATGGTTATGCGCATATTTATTTGAGAAACATCTCTAAGGTTGGACCAAGAATAAACGTATGGTTTATTCATAAAGAACCTGAGTTGACAATCAAAATGCATGTGATGCATAGTTGGTATTACTCATACTTAAATTTAGAGGGCATACCACTAATTCATGCTTTTGATCTTCAACAAAGGTTATGCCAATACTTGCACTAAGTGGAAAATTGTAACATTGTCCATTAATGTTGTATAAATGAAGTTGTGCTAGTTTATTATGCCAAATTTAGCCATTGTGGCAGTAATTAGTTTTTGATAACTAATTACAATCAAGAATGAACGTAAGGTTTATTCATTAAGTTTTATATTACATAAGATACTTAGAGAAGAAGTTACATTGTAATCATAAGTGAATGCTACTCTGATTAAGAGGGGCTATCTCTATGGTTCATGTTTATTGCTTCTTTGAGTTAATACTTGCACCAAGTGGGAGAGTGTAACATTTTCCATTATGTCACCATTAAGTGGCGCAAGTTAATCAGCCATTTATGGCTATTATGTTGTGGTTTGAAACAGAACCATTTCTGTTACTTAACCTATAATGATGGCACATAGGTTATATATATGTATGGTCCTCTCATTGCTCCTGTGGATTGCTGATACTACACCATCTAGTTCAACAGGAGACCAAGTGGTAGACAAAACACCAAAATTCCTTACAATTCTTCAAGCAATACAACAGAAATTACAATTATGGCGGGAGATGCTCGATCATATGCTTCCACAATCAAGGTTAGATTACATGTATTGATTTGTTTATTTCTAACAATATATATATATATATATATATATATATATATATATATATATATATATATATATATATATATATATATATATATATATATATATTGCTTTGAAGCCACAAATCATGGACTATGGCTGCGGAATTTGATCTTGGGGCTTAAAGTAGTTGACAGTATTTCTAGACCTTTGAGAATTTATTGTGACAACTCCGCAGCAATGTTCTTCTCTAAGAATGACAAGTACTCTAAGGGTGCTAAGCATATGGAATTGAAATACTTGTCAGTTAAAGAAGAAGTACAGAAACAGAGAGTGTCAATTTGGCATATCAAAACTGAACTTATGGTGGCTATTCCTTTGAGCAAAGGTTTAGCACCGAAAGTCTTCTCCTGTCATGTGGAGACTATGGGAATTTTGCATAGAGCCTTGTTATCATTGGTTTTCAGTTTTATGCTATATTGACTTGGTTGAATTCAATTAATGTTATATCTTTGTTTGCACCTATGGTTGTCAGTATCGAAATTAAAGTTGACCTATGATGCATGGAAGGGAACATGTTGTTCAAATAACGTGCGACCGCCATGATCAAGCTAACTTTAATTTGAGTAAAGGTTCATTGATGTTTTGGGATATTTCGCGAATTAAAGTTATCCTAATGCATCAATGATATAGATAGACCAAGTGGGAGAATGTTAGAATATTTTATTCTAATGTTATTGTGGTCCATGTATTAAAGTGGTCTGGACAATTAAAATCCCGTTGTGATAGGTAATGGGAATAAAATATGTAACGGATCAAGGGGTTATTACTCCCCTCTCTTTTGCTTTCAATAGGGCTACTTAAGCCTACTTAATATTTGGTTTATGGCCATTATTGCCATAATTCCAATAATCAATATTGGAATGTAAGTTATGTAAAGAAGGCAATATAAAAGGGCATAAGCATTTTCCTATCCTATCACTGTGAAAACTAACGTGAAAGACCAGAGGGAAAAGTATTCTGAAAAAACACTCTACAAACTTGCATAAAGAAGTTGTGAAGAAGAAAGGGTTGAAAGCTTCACCATTCTCTCATGGAATCAGGTTAGTACTTTAACGCTTCTGATTATAGTATTGGTTAAATCATTCCATGCCTATTGTTATAGTTTTACATGCCGGCGATCGGACGGCGGAGAGCTCCGGTTGATGGCCTTCAGGAGTGGGTGGCGGAGCTGCATGTGTAGACCCTAGAGGATCTGGTGATGGTCGATAGCTCTCTGGGAATTCTCCTAAGGTTGTGCTTGACATGCAGAACCTGAGATTTCAGCGATTTTCTATCGCCCTTCCGCATGTTTTTTTTCGACTGCAAATCAGATTGGAATCAAGAAGAAACACAAGGAATTGCTGGAACACCGCTTATTATCAGTCCCCACAGAAAAAGTGAACAAATATGCTTAGCAGTGCAGTGGTTGTGGCTTTGGTTTCCCAGTGTGAACACCTGGGTTTGAATCCCCCTTTAGAATCTCTCTAACCATTTTGCTTTGATTGATGGTAGGAACGTAATTTTTTGTCACGGTCCCCACAGACGGCGCCATTTGATGTAGAAAAAATAGCTTGAATGTACTACGTAGGTAAAAGGTATGAACAATGGAGTAGACCCAAGAGAATAGCTCAAAGGACTCTTTTATTCAGTGTAGTTCTTGCATTTCTAGGAAGAGTGTTCTTGTATTTCCTAGAGAGAGAATGGAGACTGTTGGGCTTTGAAGAGAGAGAGAGTGGAGAGAGTGGCTCCTTCTAGAGAGAGATAGTGTGTAGAGAGGAAGGGAAAGAACCCCTAAAATGAAGGGTCAAGTGCCCTTATATAGGTGCAACCTAGTTGGGTTTGACCTTGACCCGAACCGTTTGACCCGACTCAAATAAGAACACGGAGCGTACGGGGAGCCTGAACCCGGGGTATATTCCCCATCAGCGTGGTTGTGTATATGACTGAGATTTTAGTTGTAATATGAACTCTTTATCTTACAAAGACATATGATATTTAGTAGTGGTAGTTTTTCCCCTACATATTTCATCTATTGTGAGATGTATGTTGTAGGTTATCACGTGAAAGTATTGAACAAAATATTAATATTTATTATATTTGTATAAAATATTTGGTAAATAAATACATATAACATGTTTTGTATTATAACTTTGATATTTAATTACAAGATAATGTAAAAAAGAAGACAATGGACAGTGTAGTGAATATAATAAATTAATAAATTTGAAGGTTAGTGATGGGGTGAGGACCCCGGCCCAAGAAGAAGGGCCCAAGAGAGAAGGGGCCCAAGACAGGAGATGAGGGTTAGTAAAAGAAGAAGCCCGATGGTGGCCTGGGCCGAGTCCAGGAGTCGGCCCAGGCCCAAGTACGAAAGGAGACTCGGCCTAGGAGCCAGTAAGAGGCATTCAAGTCGGTCTAAGAGCCGTTGAGGGAGCACTCAATGCGGCATTGAAGAGGACTCGATCAAACGGGCCGTTAGAGGGCCAAAGAGCCGTTGGCCGACTCAGTAACAGCGACCGAACGGTCTTATAGTGTAATTAGCCTTAAAGGCGATGTTTAATGTGCTTCAATTCAGCTGGAACGGAGCGTACTATATAAAGGCCCCTCCACACTTGTAAGAGGGGCGAGTCCATGCCCAGAGAATAAGACACACACTTCCTAGATACTCGATTATCCATCTTTGCGATCACTTTTTGAGAAAGGTGAATCCACCAACCAAAGGTTGTGTTGGACCTCCTTGGGCCCAAAAACCCAAAAACCAACACTGGCGCCGTCTGTGGTGATCGAAACAAAGAGCTACGTGACTCTCTGAGCAGGGCGAGTCCCAAAGTCGACCGAAAAAGCGTCATAAACATGTCGGAAGGACGAGACCAAGAGAACAATCGAAGCAACGGAGTGGAGGCGAATCTAAGAGATCAGTTGAACCAACGAAATGCTCAAAGTCAAGGAAACGAAACGGCACCGGTGAACCGGCAGCCACCCATGATACCCCTCACCCCGGAACAACTCCACGCGATCGGGCGAGCCTTCGCCGATGCAAGTCCAGGAGTGAGGGAGCAGTCAGTTTCTCGGCCGATGCCTCGCCATCAACAACCGTCCCAGAGGCCGAAAGACGGACAGGAAAATCGACGGGCAGAGAGCCAGCCAGTACGATCAGTCCATTCAAGGCTGGGTCCGAATGCTGGGCGGCAGCCTGCACGAGAACGTCTAGGAGAAAGGGAGCCCAGCCGCGCACCAGCAGGGCCCCGAGATCGGGAAACCGGTCGGAAAAGAGCTCGCACCAGGAGAACCAAGACTCGGACACGACGGACTGAGCGTATAACGCGCAATGATGACCAACCGACCGAATCAGAGGTCGGCAAAAGTACGGAGTCCACAGGATACCACACTCGTAATGAAGGCGACGTGGCCCAATTGGCCTGAGAGGTACGAGATCTGAAAGAACAAATGGGGGGTAAGACCAAATCCCCCGGGCAGACGTTGCTCACCGCTTTGCCATTCTCTTCCGAGATCATGTCCTACAAAGTGCCCGGCGACTTCAAATTCCCGGAACAAGCCACCTTCGACAGATCTGGAGACCCACGCGAACATCTGCTTAGCTATCAGGCCAAAATACCGGTTTTGGGAATGCGAGACCCGGTGATGTGTCGCGCCTTCTTGCCCACGCTGAAAGGCTCCGCACAAAGGTGGTTAGTGGCGCTGCCTCCTAAGTCGATTCACAGTTTTGAGGAGTTAGCCGACCGCTTCATGAGCCATTACGCGGCCAACATCAAGCCACAGAAGGATCTGACTCACCTTGGAGATGTCCACCAAGAGGAAGGCGAGTCCCTGAAAGCCTACTTGGTTCGATGGCAAAAGGATATTCAGTCTATCGAGGAGGTCGAAGATCAGACCGCACTCACTTTCTTCATCGAGTCTTTATGATCCGGGCAATTGTATCGGGATCTGCGGGATAACCGCCCGGCTACCTACGCGGAAGCCATACACATGGCCAATAAAAGGGCTAACACGGAGCAGGCCATGAAGCATAAGCGACAACGCGAAGTCGGAGGATCCGTCGGTGGAAAGAGGACCCGCGCGGAAACCAAGGAAAGGCGCCCGAAAGGGGCTCGGCGACCCGAGGCTAGGCGTCCCTATGACAAGCCTATGATCCATCCTTATAGAACGGTTCCTCAGCACCCGGTACATGAGGTTCAAGCGGTCGCTCCGCCTCCGCCCCCGCCGATCGACGAGCATGTGGCGAGTGAAGAGACAGGTAAGAACTCTAAGTACTGTCGCTATCATAAGTCTTACACTCATAGTACGGAAGAGTGCTTCTACTTGAAAAAGGTCATGGAAGGAATCATCCAGCAAGGGACCCCGCCTCCTAATCAGTGGAGGCGAAGGTTAGTAGCACGAGAGGACAATGATCCCGCAGTCGCCGCCAAGAGTAGCCGCGGCAAGTGGTCGGCCACTGAGGAGGACAAGGCCCAGTGGCGTCAAAAGCCAGTTATTAACATGATAGTCGGCAAACCGGAGGGCGGCGACTCAGTGAATACCAGAAAGGCCTGGGCTCGACAACTATACGTCGGGACAGTATATGGGCGTGAAGAAAGCTCGAAGAAAGTGTGCCGAGAGCCGATCACGTTCACTGACAAAGATTTGCCCACGGGAGAGACACCGCATCGAGATGTGCTGGTCATAGCGATGGACGTAAACGGAGTGGTCGTTCGACGAATCCTGGTCGACACCGGAAGCAGTGTTAACGTGCTATACCTCGAGACTTTCACAAAGATGGGATTAACTCGAGAACAACTGAATCCAGTCAAGACACCACTCGCCGGTTTCACGGGAGACTTAGTGGAAGCAGAGGGGTCCATCACCCTGCCGGTGGAGGTCGGCAGCTATCCCGACATATAGAAGCTCAACATGAAATTCATCGTGGTAAACTTAGCCTGCTCACACAATGCTATACTCGGCCGACCGGGCCTGGAGGATTTGGGAGCACTGATCTCCATCGAGCACCTTGGCTTGAAATTCCGCACGCCAAACGGAAAAGGAACGGTGCGTTGCGATAGAAGAGTCGCCCGCGACTGCTACCTGCAAGCCTGTAGAGGAATGGGCAAGCGTGGATTGCAAGTCCACGAAATCACGGAAAAGCCCCCGAAGAAAGCAATGATACCCCGCCCAGAGCCAGCCGTGGAATTGGAAGAAATCGAGATCGACCCTAAACGGCCGGACAAGCGGGTCAGAATTGGTGTCGGTTTCCCCAAGGAGACTCGGGAGGAAATTATCCAAGTACTCCGAAAGCATCGGCTGGTCTTTGCCTGGGGGCCAGAGGATATGCCAGGTGTCGACAGGTCCATCATCGCCCACCGACTCGCCGTGGATCCGGACCATCGGCCGGCCGTACAGAAAAAGCGGTATCTCGCCAATGACCGAAGGGAATTCGTAAAGAAAGAGGTGGGCACGCTGCTATCCGCGGGCCACATCCGAGAGGTTAAATACCCGGAGTGGTTGGCGAACGTAATCCTCGTACCGAAACCCCTAGCCTGGCGAATGTGCGTGGATTACACTGATCTTAACAAAGCCTGCCCAAAGGATCCGTTCCCCTTGCCCCGGATTGACCAGCTGGTCGACGAGACAGCAGGGTCAGATCTGCTGAGCTTCATGGACGCCTTTAGGGGATATCATCAGATTTTCATGCACCCGGCCGACGAGGAGAAAACCGTTTTCCTTACACCAGACGGGGTGTATTGCTACCGAGTTATGCCCTTCGGACTCAAGAATGCTGGGGCCACCTATACTCGGATGGTAGCTCGGCTATTCCAAGACTTACTGGGTAAGTCCATGGCGGCCTACGTGGACGACCTGTTGGTCAAAAGCAAAGAAGAGGCCAAACACGCGGAGGATTTGGCCGACTGCTTCCAAGTGATGCTCAGGTATAATCTCCGACTGAACCCGAAGAAATGTGCCTTAGCGGTGCAAGGCGGGAAGTTCTTAGGATACATGGTGACTAAACGAGGCATCGAGCCCAACCCGGAGAAGGTCCAGGCCATCATCGATATGCAGCCTCCCAGCACCGTCAAAGATTTGCAACGATTGACTGGTCGACTGGCTGCCCTTAGTCGCTTCTTAAGTAAGGCGGCGGACAAGACCATACCATTCTTCGAGGCCATGAAGAAGAAGGAAGGCTTTGCCTAGAAGACCGAGTGCCAGCAATCGTTCGAGGAACTAAAATAGTATCTTTCCGCACCTTCAGTGTTGTCCACCCCACGGGAGGGTGAGCCTTTGTTTTTGTACTTGGCTGCCTCCCCCAAGGCGGTGAGCTCGGTACTAGTTCGGGAAGAAGAGCGTACCCAGCACCCGGTATACTATGTAAGCCGCTCCTTAGAAGACGCCGAGACACGGTACACAGCCTTGGAGAAGACCGTCTATGCACTGGTAATCACCGTACGCAAGTTAGCGCCCTATTTCCAGGCCCATACTGTCCGGGTACTGACCGACCAGCCGCTGGGGAGCGTGTTGCGAAACCCCGCGTCATCAGGACGATTAGTAAAATGGGCCGTGGAATTAACCCAATACGGGATCGAGTATCAACCGCGACCGTCCATAAAAGGGCAAGCCTTGGCCGATTTCCTGGTCGAATGCACGGCAGGGGAAGAAGAGAAAGAGCACACCACGGAAGACCGTTCAGGTGAGTGGTGGGAGATGCACGCGGATGAAGCGGCTAGTCGACAACACTGTGGAGGCAGAATCATGTTAATCACTCCAAAGGGATTCCGACTCTACTGGGGTTGAAATTAATCATGATTGGTTTTAGAAGCTTAGGCTTCACTTGGATGGATAAGGTTGGACTGGTGTACATGTTGGACTTTTGGTGTACAAGTTGGATCGGAGTTCGGTTGGATATTGATTTGATATTAATATTGATATTGAGCATTTGGCTATTGTTATTTAAAATCCTTTGGCTATATATATATATATAATATATATATATATATATATATATATATATATATATATATATATATATATATATATATATATATATATATATATATATATATATATATATATATATATATATATATATATAATACCACCTATGGTCCCTCGAGTTTGGTGGCATCGCCATCAATAGTCCCTAACTTCCGTAATTACCATCTGTCATCCTCTGAATTGTCAAAAGTTACCTTCTAGCGTCCTTCCGTTATTTCCTCCCGTCTCAGCCGTCAAAATGGAGGGTAATATTGTCATTTGACTTATACAAAAAGAGTTAATACCAGCCAAGGTCCCTCGAGTTTGGTGGTTTGACCATCTTTAGTCCCAAGTTTTCATATTCCATTATTTTCCTTCTTTTATATTCTCTTCTTCAAATATATTATTATTACTATTATTTATAGTTATTATTAAATTCTTATTATTATTACTATTATTTAAAGTTATTATTGTTATTATTAAATTCTTATTATTATTGTTATTGTCATTATTATCTTATTAGCATTAAATTATTATTATTATTATTATTATTATTATATTATTATTATTATTATTATTGTTATTATTAAATTATTATTATTATTATTATTATTATTATTATTATTATTATTATTATTATTATTATTATTATTATTATTATTATTATTATTATTATTATTATTATTATTATTATTATTATTATTATTATTATTATTATTGGTGGTTTGGCAATCTTTAGTCCCAAACTTGGCCAAACAATATTAAAGAAAGTTGGTAGTTTCTCAACTTCCAACTCGAACTCCCTCTTCCCCTATACAATATTAAAGAAAATTTACAAATGTATAGGGGTCGTTTACTTCATTTATCTGTTTTTCCATTTCCAATTTATCATTTCTCCATTTCTCTAGTTTTCTTTCTCCATTTTTTCAGTTTTCCTTCTCCATTTTTTCAGTTTTCCTTTTTTCCATTCCTCCAGATTTTTATTTCTCTAACTTTCTGATTTTATTAAATATACTCATCCTATATAGCATTTGCACATTTCGACAACAACAATAATAATAATTTAATAATTTAATAATAATAATAACAATAAATAATAGTAATAATAATAAGAATTTAATAATAATAAAATAATAATAATAATAATAATAATAACAATAATAATAATAATAATAATAATAGCATTTGTACATTTCTACAACGACAAAAACAACAACAACAACAATAACAACAACAAAAACAATAACAATAATAATAATAATAATAGTAATAATAATTTAAAAAACTAATAATAACAATAAATAATAACAATTTAATAATAATAATAATAATAATAATAATTTAATAATAACAATAACAATAATAATAATAATAATAATAATAATAATAATAATAATAATATGAATATGAATATTATTATAATATTAATAATAATAATAATAATAATAATAATAATAATAATAATAATTTAATGCTAATAATATAAAAATAGAAATAACAATAACAATAATAATTTAATAATAACAATAATAACTTTAAATAATAGTAATAATAATAATAAGAATTTAATAATAACTATAAATAATAGTAATAATAATACATTTGAAGAAGAGAATATGAAAGAAGGAAAATAATGAAATATGGAAACTTGGGACTAAAGATGGCCAAACCACCAAACTCGAGGGACCTTGGCTGGTATTAACTCTTTTCGTATAAGTCAAATGACAATATTACCCTCCATTTTGACGGCTGAGATAGGAGGAAGTAACGGAAGGACGCTAGAAGGTAACTTTTGACAATTCGGAGGATGACGGATGGTAATTACGGAAGTTAGGGACCGTTGATGGCGATGCCACTAAACGCGAAGGACCATAGGTGGTATTTACTCTATATATATATATATATATATATATATATATACCAAAGTAACTTGTTGATGTGTTGACTCTTGGAATTGTATCTTGTTTATGCTTTGGTATTGATATCTTGAATCTAAGTTGAGTTGAGTTGATTCCCCGTTGACTTTCTTGAATTGGAGACATTTGAGTATTCTATTGATTGGGTCTAGAGCCCCTAGAATTGAGCTTTGTTGATTATCTGTCTTTTGAAATCCTTCAGCTGAGTTCGTTGGTATGATATATATATGTAGTCATACCGTTGCAAAACCTATTTTGAGTATAAAAGTATACTTATGTATCTCTACGTGTTAGAGTGGTTTTACTTAGCATTATTCGCTAATTCTTCTAAAACAATTTCAGGTTGGCTTAGATATGCTTCCCAAGAGCGCTGTCTAGAATGGATGGTTTAGTTGATTCTAATAGAACCTAGATTGTTGTATTGTTGGTTCGTTTGTACCGGCCTTGTAAACGGTTTGTAGTTAGAACCTTTGTAAAGCCTGTGCGTTTGGGTTTATAAGAGTAACCTAAGTGTGGCATAACACCCCAGCCATTGACTTTAAAGTTTTGAATTCGCTTCTGCATTTTCTTTGAGTTCTCTCTCTCTCTCTATATATATATATATATATATATATATATATATATATATATACTTCAAAAAAAATTTCAGAAGTTTTCATTTTCATTAGAAAACTACTAAATGTGTTTAAATCTATTTATTTATGAGTGGGGGACAATTGATAAAAGTATCAACTAATATTGTAACTATGTAGGTTGTTATGGGCTTGTGGTTAGGTAGATGGGATAAAGTTAGAAATAATAGTAAAACGAGTGAGAGCAAATCGTGAATCTTTTGTTAGCAATTAGGCATTCTATTACTTTTGATACATCACTTACGATTTTTTGGTCCAGGCAAAGCATAGAATTGGAAAATATAATTTGTAGTAATAATGAGAACATGGGGTTTTAGAGGAAGGTGTTAGATAGTGACTACCATTCAGTGTCTTGAAAGTGTGTCTTTGATATTTGGACAAGTACCAAACT